TCGGCATATTTCTCAGCTCCCCCTCTTTTAAAAGTCCGTGCAACCGTAAAGGGGGGGGGAGCGGTGTACGTTTTGGGAGTTCTTAAAAAAAAATCAACCCGATCCCCTTCCCCCCCCCCCCAGTGCAAAGTAACGACATGGGGGGTGAGTCTGCAAAAGGTTCTCCTTGGAACGCGACCAGACTTGGCCATCGTCTGGACGGGCTGGCTGCTCCCTTCCCTGTAACTCGGGGAGCGAGAGAGAGAGAGCGCTGCCGTGGAAAACGTGGTTGCTCTTGTATCAAGTCCTCCTCCTCGGCTAAAGTTAACTTCCAGCTTGCAAGCAAGTTGTGCAACAGGCGAAACGCATCTCGTTGCCGGGCAGAGTAGAGCAGCCGAGAACGAGGGCGAGCTGGTGATGCTGAAAAACTTTTTTTTTCCCCCGCAGAGAGAATGGGGAGGGGAGGAGCCGCCGCGGCTTGTTGATGGTGGAGGTGGATTGAACTTTGTCATGTCAGTTGATAAGTTTGCTGTCGGCTCCCCCCCGCCCCTTCTGTACTTGCCCCCCCCCACCTCTTCGTTACACTATCTTTCTGGGAGTGCTGGGCAATGCATCCTTGATGAGTTATAAAAGAGAAAGGGCCGCGTTTTCTCCTAGCTCAGCAGATTTGTCTTCCCCGGCTCTTTTGCTGGGTTAGAAGATGGGAAGTGCCGGAGCCCAGATCTGGATGGAGTGTTTTGCATTCCATTACGAAATTCTACACTGCTGCACAACAAGCAGCGGTACCAGTACCCGATGGCACACTTTTTAAAGGGATTGTGTGTCTGTATAAGTAGACATGATATTCAGTATATTAAAAAGACCATTTGCTTCTGTAGTGGGTGGGCTGAAATGAGTGGCTGAAGTACAATTTATTTATTTATTTATTTTAAAAGCATTATATCTTAGAAAATTACTCCAGGAAAGTGTTCTGGAAAGTGTGGGGGTTTTCTCTGGGATTTGCATATGGGTGATCTGTTGCAAGTATGCATACAGGACAGAGGGCTGATGTATTTGTCCTTAAGTGATTGGGGTGGGGGTTCAAGGCTGTACTTTGATAGTGGCCTAATTTGAATATACCTTATCTTTTAAACAAGATCGCCTGTGGTTAATGCAGTTCTCTTTGGTCCATTAACCATCAGTGTACTTCGGAGTAAGAGAGAGAACCTTATGTCCTTCCTTGCTAACACTCTGGCCTGTGAAGATAATTGTTTTCTGTTATTTTCAGTAATTCTTTGATCTCTTTGGCCACTATTGGTTGACTGGACAATTTATATGTTGGTGATGATAGTAGGTATGCACTGAAAAATAGAGGTTTCTGGTGTAGATAAGGAATGTTTAAAAGTTGTAGCAGCCTGTTCCCTTTCTGCAGATGGTTGTGTGTACCACTATGTGTAGGCAGGAGAGAGAGGGATGTACCCAGTGACTCATGGTCCCACCAGCCATATTTGTTTTAGGGTTTTATTTTCCCTTTGAAGACTTAGGAGAGAGATTGCATGCACATAATGCCCATTAGCATTAACGGGTGTTATGCACATCCTGGGAGAATAGACCCCTTTGTGCTGTGTTGTGATGAAGCAGCATGGCTTCATCATCCTATCAATCAAGTTAATACAGCACTAATTCCTCATCCTTCATTTAAGACACACCTAATGGTTTTACTTGTTTTGGTGCATTTGGCCAGGATGTCATCGTGGGTGGGTGTTTCTCTTCGCGTCACAATCCAAAAGAGTTATAAATACATTATTTTAAAAGCAGCATGAAAGGATGGCTTTTCAGACCTCTTTGCCTAGACAATGCTTGGAATGTTGTTTAATCATTCTAATAGCATTCCACAAACTATTTTGCCTGCTAATTAACACTTTTATGGTTAGTGGAGTTGTAACAAACTGAAATCCAGAAGGCTTCTTGATTTTGGAACTTTTGGAATCCCTCTGAATGTCAAACAATTTGAATAAGAATTCACTTGAATACCGTTAGTTTCTCTCTCTCTTTTAAAGCTGTGTCCTTTCCTATACCTTAAGGTGATCTTTTGATCACATGATCCTCCTTTAGTATTTTCAGGGTCAAGAGCTTGTTGAAGTGAAACTTCAGATGTGAAAACTGAAAGTCCTTTGTGCATTGCAGATAAACCTGTGTTTGGCCCAAGGGTACATGGAGTGTCTGAAAACTTTTTCTTCCCTCCAGTGCTTTTATGGGTTGTCATTCTTGTCATATGTTTCCATCACTTGCATAATTACTGTTCCTCAAAATGCATCCTTCTATGTCATCCCCCCCCCCCACTGGAAGTGTCTTCTTAGAGATATATTGTCCTGAACTTGTATGGGTGCCTGGGAGGGCGGGGGAGAGTAATCTTATACTGCCAATCAAAACCAGCTATCATTGCTACTACACTGAGGTTATACTTGTTATCCCTTGCAAAAGCAGATAGTGCATGGAAGGTCATAGGATAAGTGTTGCTAAGCAGCGAAGGAGAAGGATGCTAAAATTAACCCAAGTGCATCTATCAGGGGTTTGTTCTCTCTTTTTTTCCCTTTTGGAAATGACATTAAATCTTATTTGGCCATTAATTAAAATGTTTGACATCCCTAACTCCAGAAAAGAACCCAAAAACTTAAAGTTAAAAAATCAGAAATTTCTGTTCAAGAATATATTCTGAATGTTTGCTTGAGCTGTTGGTGAAAATAAACTCAGGTACTTAAGAATATCATCCTAAGCAAACTTCTGCCCTTTTAAGCCCATTGAAATTAATGGACTTAGAAGGGTGAAACCCTTCTTAGGATGGCACTGTAAAGTCACACATATGAAGCTGCCTTCTACTGAATCAGACCATCGGTCCATCAAGGTCAGTATTACCTACTCTGACAGGCAGCGGCTCTCCAGGGTCTCAGGCAGGGGCCTTTCACATCACCTACTGCCTGGTCCTTTTAAGTGGAGATGCCAGGGATTGAACCTGCGACCTTCTGCGTGCAAAGCAGAGTCTTCCAATGAGCCACAGCACCCTGGCAGAATTTTACTGAGAGATATTGCTTTAATAGAAGCCCTTACAGGGAATAGATTTTAGTTGTCTGTTTTAGAGCACATGACATCTCAGCTTTGAACAAAGGGCAGCATACCTCTTTCTGTGCTTCCTCAGAAACAGATAATGTGCTTACTTCAGTGAGACTTGCTTAACTACAGTTGTTTAGGAATAATCACAAAACTTCCATCTAGGAGTAAGTTTTTAAATCAGTGATCAATCTCCTTATAACAATCTGTTGATTTTTGACCCCCCCCCCCTTGCAGGTTCTGAACAGTGTGGTGAGTTCAAACACAGGTGGAATGTAATGTTTGAGAGAGAAACAGCCTTGCGATGTGATGTGTGTTGGAAACAAACTGGGCTGTTAGTTCCCCTTTAGGGATATGCAGCTTTGGTGATCTTATGTTGAAGCTTCTTTTTTGCATTGTCATCCAGGTCTTCCATGGTTAGATCAACTGTGCTAGTCTGCTCAGGGAATGATGTTTGATGTTCTGTTCCTGCTTTTCTACTTCTTAAAAGCTCATTTGTTTTCACATTATATTGTGTTATGGTACCTTCACTGAACCTCTCTCTCTTCCCTTTACAGATATAAAGTGTATTTCTGAAGAGCAGTCGGATGCTTAGAAAGTGGTAGGAATTGTTTTTTGTTCTCCCACCCCCCCCTTTAACATTTTTATTCTTACCCTTGCTAAGAAAAACTAGTAACTAATGTAAAAGGTTCTTGTCCAGGGAAATGATGACAATAGCCAGTGTCTTATTAATTAATGCGGGATCCTATTCACGGGTCCTCAACCTTACTGTGTACGATGGGTCAAGATTGTGGGCCTAAAGTGGAGTGTCCAAAGAATAGCTTTCGTGACATGGACCATAAAACGTGTTTCTGCTGCTTGCAGCTTCTTAAGTGGAACTCTGAGGTTTCTAGTCCTCGTGAGTGTGGGATGAATACAAAATTGGACTTGAAACAGTAAGGATTGGAAACCTGAAGACCAAAAGATACTATTTCAGAATCAAAATCAAAATCTGGCTGCAGTGATCTGAGAGCATGGGCTGAGGAAACTTAGAACGCCTGTTTCTTCCACCCCTGTTACTACTCGTTTATGGCCCATTGTAGTTTCACCAGCTCCGGGTTTTCACTGGCATGGTCTCAGCAGGGTGGTATGCCAGCACAGCTCCATATTTTGCCATTGTAGGGCTTGGTTGATGTCCAGAGCATTTTATAGGCTGGCTGCAGGATTGTGCTGTTCATTTAAGGAGAATGATTAGCCTATTAAGTACATTGAACAGAAAGCTATTCAGGCTTTGCTTGGCCTTCCTCTAAGGTGGGCTAGTCTGGTTCTTTGAGCACAGCAACCGTATAGGGTAGAATAGGTTGTGCGGTGGTGATTTGCCAGAGGTAATCTAGTCTGAGGTTTCCTAAATAGCTGTATTCAGGAATCAGCTTTCTGCCCACTAGGCCGTAGTGTCGATTGTTGGCGTACCAAATATATATCTATCTCAATCAGCTGGGGTTCAGTGGGCTTCTTGTTCGATCGTATTTCTTTGTTGGCGTTCTGTCTGGATGGAGAGTGCCTTTTGCATTGGATGCCAAGTTCTTCCTCCACCTGTTTGCTACCGTACTCTGTCAGAATGGAAGCTCCTGGTCTTTTCCATGTGGCTTTATGCCAAGTTGAACAGCCTATCTCCCACCTTTGCTCGCTTCCCCTGCAACAGAGGAAGGATGGGAGAACACCTTTGCTCGCTTCCCCTGCAACAGAGATATTGGGGGGAATGGCAGGCAGTGTTTTTCCCCACAGGACATAAAAGGATGGGAGGAAATCTGGGGAGATTTTGTTTTTTTGTTCACAGCACTTAGGGAAACGAGTAGGCCTGTGCTCAAGGTGCTAAACCCGGTTGTCAAAAATAAGCTCCAACTTTGAACCATCCTATTTTTGGTAGCAGTAACATGAAGCCAGTGAGTTCTGAAACAAAGGACATCCATGTTATGGAGTGTTTTGGTCTGGAATAAGGGAGATTAGGAGCTGAGGTGGCTCAAGTGGTTAAGACGCTGAACTGCAGGCTGTGGAAGGTCGGTAGTTCAGCAGTTCAAGACCCGAGTGTGCCGCATGACGGAGTGAGCTCCCGTCTCTGGTTCCAGCTCCTGCCAACCTAGCAGTTCGAAAGCAAGAAATTGCAAGTAGATAAATAGGTACCACTTCAGTGGGAAGGTAACAGCATTCCGTGCGCCTTGGTGTTTAGTCATGCCGACCACATGACCACGGAAATGTCTTCGGACAGCGCTGGCTCTTTGGCTTTGAAACGGAGATGAGCACCGCAACCCTAGAGTCAGATTTGACTGGCTTTCAAGCAAGGGAACCTTTACCTTTACCTTAAGGGAGATTAGCATTAAAAAAAAAAAAGTGGTGCCTAACCTGGGCGAAGCTGGATGGTAGGTTTTATTTGAATCCCTCCCCGTCTTTGGAACTTTTCTGCCTTCAACCCTGCTTCAGCCCATTTGGTAGTGTTAAATAGGGCAGCATTTTAAAGGTAGGACATGTGTTATTTAAGACAGCAACGGCTGTTTGCAGCAGAAACAGCCAAACTAAAACATCCTGGTCTTGTCTGAAGGTTGAATTTTCCCCCTCTGAGGCCTAAGTTACATCTTTCTGAGTTCTGTTGAATAGATGAGTAGCTGCCTGTGCCACATGACTATTGCTCTGCTATGAAAGATAAATAAAAAAGCACGCTTCAAAACAGCTGAGTATCAGCGAGCCTGAAAGAAATGCAGGCTTGTTAACTCTGCCAGGCGGACCTGGGTCCCATCCTACGGTCAGAGGAATACATTTGGGATTGATTGCATCCCGTGTAACAGACCGAGCCTGCAGACCTTCCCTCCCTGCATCTTGCTCTTAGCACCTCTCCAGCTTTTCATGCTAATCTCCCTTGCAGTCAATAAAGGTAGCTAGCTCTCTTGTGAATAGGTGCTGTAGACAAAAGAAGCAGGCAATGGGTGGGGACTGTTTATTCAATGCGGTTCCAGTAAGTAATGCTAAGGGAATTTGAAAGCCTCTGAGGCAGGGTGGCCGAATAGTTTTAAGGAGGATTCACCTGCAGGACCTCCAGGAGGGTGGTACCCCCAGGGTGGGGCAAAGCAATTGAAACCCCCCACAAAGGCATTGTCGAATCTTAAATACTCTGATAAGGGATTATTAGGTGCTTTTGAAGTTCTAGATTTGGGTGGGGGGGAGGGCCCTTGCCTCTGCTTTAGTCCCTTCCCTGCCTTCTATTCTTGTTTTTAAAGAATGAGTGACTCCTTGGCATCGAGGTGCCACTGAGCCTTGGGGAGGGAAAGGGGGCTGTATCAAGTTTGCAAACGCATCCACTTGAAATTTAAAAGATTCTGATTCTGCCTTCCCAGGTACCAGCAGACCTTTGACAGTCTGGTACAAGTGCTTAAGTCGCGAGCATTAAGTGCTGATTTGGTTTATCCCTATAGAGCAGTGTCGCCAGGAAGGGATTTTGGTGGCGGTGTGGGGGGGTGGAATTTGGAAGTATGGAAGAGACCCAGATAATTGGTATCTTTATATTGGCTACAATGTATGTCCCTCACACATACGGTCTCTTTAGAAGCTTCAAAATATTAACCTGCTTTCTTCCTTTGGGACAGAAACACATTTCCTTTTATTTTAAGGGATAGTTTTGCGTTTTAAAATGTTATGGCCAATGGCTAATACAATAAACTTGATGATGATGACAATAGTAAATTAAGCAGGAGAGACCTAAGTTTCAGAAATGAGACCAGTGTAGTGGCCAAGAGAAGGCACTGGGGAGTTTTTCCTTCACATTTTGGCTTGGCTGTCAACTCATCAGATGTTAACATTGCTTGACAGGTTAATCATCATTTGATGACCTCTTTTGGTCTGCTCCTCTCTCATGCAGGAACTTCTCCTTCTTAGCTTTGGAGATAGCTACGGACAGTATTTGAAGTTGTAATCTCCAAAATTGGGGGAAAGGTGGGACATTGGGTTTCCAACCTCCAGGTAAGACCTGGAGACCTCCTGCTATTACAGCTGATCTCCATGGAGAAAATAGCTGCTTTGGAGGGAGGACATGGCATGGTACCCTGCTGAGGTCCCCAAACCCCGCCCTCCCCAGGCTCCACCCCCAAAATCTCCAGAAATTTCCCTACTCAGATGGCAGCCGTACCTCCCTCTTTCATCTCTCCTTGTGTGGCCAGCTCTGGGTTAGGAAATACCTAGAGCAATGGTGGCGAACCTATGGCACGGGTGCCAGAGGTGGCACTCAGAGCCCTCCCTGTGGGCACGCGTGCCATCGCCCCAGCTAGGCCCAGACCATCATTAAAGTGTCGAATTCTCTGCCAAATAATTTTAAGTCAATGAAAGCATTTGGGATTGCTTTCCTTACTTTGTTTGGATCATCTTAAGTTAATGTATGAGTTGTTTTTTCTAAAGTAAACCCTCAGTATTCAGGTTTAATTGCCGTGTTGGCACTTTGCAATAAATAAGTGGGTTTTGGGTCGCAGTTTGGGCACTCGGTCTCTAAAAGGTTTGCCATCACTGACCTAGAGGTTTGGGGGCCGGAGCCTGGAGAGGGTGGGGTTTGGCGAGGGGAGGGATCTCAGCAGGGTACAATATATTTATTTTGGAGTTTTCTATCCCGCCCTCCCTCGCAAGCCGGCTCAGGGCGGGTCACAACAAGAGGATAAACAGTTGAAATGCACAATATATACAGTTTAAAACTATAAAACCCATAATACAGTACATGATGGCGAGCGAATAACAAGCTCCATGGTGTATGTTGTATATGTGCCCAAGGGCTGGCCTGCCAGAAGGGGGGATAAATTGTCTGCCGATGGAACAATTTGATAAAGTGCGCAACGCAAGCGGAGGCGGAGTAGGGCTACCCTCCAAAGTAGCCATTTTTTTCCCCAAGGGGAGCTGATCTCTGTAATCTGGAGATCAGTCGTCATAGCGGGAAATCTCCAGGCCCCGCCTGGAGGTTGGCAACCTTACCTTTTAGGGGAAACACCTGTGGAAGAGGGAAAGATCGTGTAAGTCTGTTTGCTGCTCTCAAATACCAAACCACAGTTCAGCGATGGTGCAGTGGTCACACTGGCTCTGAATCATTAGGTGACCTGTAAGCCATGACTCTCGGTCCCAGTCCCCTCATCAGGTAGGAATAATTCTAGCTTACCTTACAGTGGTGTTTTAAAGATGACCGAGATAATATATATGCATTGTGTCAAGGTCATAGTTAATTTTATGGTGTCAAGGTGTGGAAATGTAGGTCTGTTTTCAGATAGGCTCAATGCATATATGGGGTTTTGATCAATCGTTTTCTCCCCCTATTCCTCTCTGGTTATTTTTAACTTACTCTGTATGTATGCTTCAGCTTTAGTTTGGGTTTGTTACTGAAGCTCAAAACAGCCAGCACGGTATCCTAAGAACGAATTAGGTCCCAGACTTGTACTGTCTGGGACTGGAGGACAAACTAATTCAGTCAGCCATTTCGTGAGATATCCCCCCCAATCCTTCCAGTATCCTAAGAACGAATTAGGTCCCAGACCCGTACTGTCTGGAACTGGAAGACAAACTAATTCAGTCAGCCATTTCATGAGCCCTTTTATAGATATC